CCCTTTTTATTGTATTTCACCAATTTTATATTAAACTTTCATGCTCTTATCTTGTTTTTTTTTGTATTATTCTTTACACTTGTTAAAGCACTTTGTAACTTGTTTTTGAAAAGTGCTCTACAAATAAGGATTATTATTATTATTATTATCCTCTGAGATGTGCTGTGTAAATATGCAGATTAGCTTGTTTTGGTTAATATAGAATAAATCTACAGATGCAAATAGATCGAGGTTATTAGCAACAATAATAAAGTATTTGATCAATACATTAATGTATTCAGGCAATTCAGTATTCTGTTGCTTGGCTGTGTGAAGCTGAAGGTTATCTTTACTCATTTGGCATCTTGCTTGTGAAACAAAAAGTAAAAGTATTTAAATAACATTTATTTTAATTATGCCTGCAGCCCAATGCCACAGTTTAGTGTGAAGATTTATGTGAAGTGTTATGTATTCCAATAACACCAAAAGAATTGAAACGATTTATTGCCTTGTGAAAAATAAACAAATTATTAATGAAACTAAGTCATATACAGTGGGTACGGAAAGTATTCAGACCCCTTTAAATTTTTCACTCTTTGTTTCATTGCAGCCATTTTCCAAAAATCAAAAAAGTTCATTTTATTTCTCAGTAATGTACACTCAGCACCCCATCTTGACAGAAAAAAACAGAAATGTAGAAATTTTTGCACATTTATTAAAAAAGAAAAACTGAAATATCACATGGTCATAAGTATTCAGACCCTTTGCTCAGTATTTAGTAGAAGCACCCTTTTGATCTAATACAGCCATGAGTCGTTTTGGGAAAGATGCAACAAGTTTTTCACATCTGGATTTGGGTATCCTCTGCCATTCCTCCTTGCAGATCCTCTCCAGTTCTGTCAGGTTGGATGGTAAACGTTGGTGGACAGCCATTTTCAGGTCTCTCCAGAGATGCTCAATTGGGTTTAAGTCAGGGCTCTGGCTGGGCCATTCAAGAACAGCCACGGAGTTGTTGTGAAGCCACTCCTTCGTTATTTTAGCGGTGTGCTTAGGGTCATTGTCTTGTTGGAAGGTAAACCTTCGGCCCAGTCTGAGGTCCAGAGCACTCTGGAAAAGGTTTTCGTCCAGGATATCCCTGTACTTGGCCGCATTCATCTTTCCCTCGATTGCAACCAGTCGTCCTGTCCCTGCAGCTGAAAAACACCCCCACAGCATGATGCTGCCACCACCATGCTTCACTGTTGAGACTGTATTGGACAGGTGATGAGCAGTGCCTGGTTTTCTCCACACATACCGCTTAGAATTAAGGCCAAAAAGTTCTATCTTGGTCTCATCAGACCAGAGGATCTTATTTATCACCATCTTGGAGTCCTTCAGGTGTTTTTTAGCAAACTCCATGCGGGCTTTCATGTGTCTTGCACTGAGGAGAGGCTTCCGTCGGGCCGCTCTGCCATAAAGCCCCGACTGGTGGATTGCTGCAGTGATGGTTGACTTACTACAACTTTCTCCCATCTCCCGACTGCATCTCTGGAGCTCAGCCACAGTGACCTTTGGGTTCTTCTTTACCTCTCTCACCAAGGCTCTTCTCCCCCGATAGCTCAGTTTGGTAAGGTTGGACTTGGTTGAAGCTACTGGAAGACGTTTCGTCCCTTATCCAAAGAACTTCTTCAGTTCTGACTGACTGGCAGGGACAACGACCCTACTGAGGTTAAATAGCTGAGTTTCCCTGCCAGTCAGTCAGAACTGAAGAAGTCCTTTGGATAAGGGACGAAACGTCTTCCAGTAGCTTCAACCAAGTCCAGTTGCCCTTGATTTTAACCCTCGTTGGATTACTGAGAAATAAAATGAACTTTTTTGATTTTTGGAAAATGGCTGCAATGAAACAAAGAGTGAAAAATTTAAAGGGGTCTGAATACTTTCCGTACCCACTGTATATACACACTTGAAACCAGTAGCATAGAAAACATGCACATTGTGGCATAGTTTGCTTTCTGTTGCCTGCTCCTGTGATAAACCTAGTGAATACCAAAGAAGACCGTGGTCTCTGTGTGAACTGATTGTTTTGTAGAAAAGAAAAAAATGTTGTTGAGTAAATATATTTGTCTTGTTTTACAAAATGCCCTTTTTTTCCATTTGAGCCCCTGCCCACCAAAATGTCTGTGCACGTCCCTGCCTTCGCCCTGCACTGTGGAGGTCGTTGCTGATGTCACCTCCTGATGTTTTGGGGTTTTCTTCACAGCTGTCAAGATATTTCTGTCATCATCTACTGTTGTTTTCCTCGGCCGACCTGTTCGACATCTGTTGCTCAGTCCACCAGTAGTTTCTTTCTTTTTCAGGACAAATTGTTGTGCTTGCTCTGCCCAATGTTTGTCCAGTGGCTCTGGTCGATTGTCCTTTTTTCTCAGCTTGACAGTGGCTTGCTTTTCTCCCATAGACAGCTCTCTGGTCTTCATGTTGGTTTATCCTCTTTATCAGGAAATGCAGTCTTTATAGGTTTGAACCAAGGATGAAAACTTAGACTAGTCATGCAGAGCTATTTAATATTTGCACAATCAACCTTAAAGGCAACACCTGGGCAACAAGAAACATCTGTCAGTCACATGCTCCAATAGTTTTGTTCACTTGAGAAATGGGTGGGTTGGGTGGTCTGTCCTGAGTTGTTTAACACATCTAATTTGCCTTACCGTTTCAATACTTTTTGAGGGGACTGTAGAAAGTAAAAAATTAAAGGTTGATGTTACATACTGTTTTATTTTGACACTTCTATAAGAGACAAATATGACATTGACTGAGAAGACTTTAATTAAAATGCATTTAAAACCTTGTTAAGTATAATGTCAATAACAGATAGGTGAGTTATTTTAACATTTTCCGGTGTCTTACCTTGACTGTAAGCTGGTAACGACCATAAACTGGTAACAACACAGTCACGAGTTCCAACTTCTACCATTCAGCACCGGGGGTGCAGAAGCTACTTCTGTTAACGCATAGTAGCATATAGCATTAGCTCCTTAGCCTGAGCTAACTTGGTCACGTTGAGCCATCGATCAATACCCCTGTGGTGGTGAATGACCAACAGGTGTGTTCACTGTTGCTTTACCTGGTCCATGCTTTTAAAATATCCACTGTGTCCGTGTCTTTTAGATGTGTGTAACATTCAATCTGAGCAGCAGAAAATTGGACATTTGATAATGAGCATGAAGCTCCGTGTGGAGTCAGGACGTGGTCACATGGTTCGTACTACACTGCTGCTTGTTGCTTGTTAGATGTGTTTGCAAAACTTCTGAAGCCGTTTATATTGAGCTTGATTAATTGAGAGACCTGAAGCCTGTTACCAGGGTGTTGTCGCTCAGCTCATCTCCATCTAGGTCTGTGTGTCGTCAAATGGAGCCGTTAGTAGAAAAAGCAGTTGAAAACAGAGCGTTCAACAACTTTTAAATACTTTATACTTTTTGAAGTTTTGGCCATGTTTAACATGAACATCCAACAATGTAGATAAGTCATAAAATATGGAAAAGCATAATAGGTTGCCTTTAAAGATCAAATTCAGGAGGGCACGACTAGGTCCATAACTTGATGATTTAGTAATTCACAGGTTCAACAAACAGGTGCGGATCAGGGCCTCGGTCCCACCACACGGGTCACTGTTGGCAGACAGGCGCCGTCCTCAAAGTATCCTTTTTTATCTCCTGGACGACTTTGTGAGGAATGTGGGTGATAAATTCCTTTTACCTACATCTCTTTAAAGGTATAGTTCAACATTTTGGGATATACTCTCTCTCTGGAAGATGAGAAGCTGGATCTGGAGTCCGGTTGTGGTTAGCTTAGCTTAGCATAAAGACTGGAGGGAGATGAAAATTGCCTGGTTCTTTCCCTCAAGCATGAATTATTATTTATTCCTTAAAGATTATTTTTATTACTCAAAATTGGGCTAAAATACAAATCCATTGACATTTTAATAATTTCTGTTTTTATTTTTAAATCATTTAACTGTCCACATATGTGGACGCCACGCAACAGAGGAGTAAAATGCCACCTGACACCTGATGTGGAATATTGTGTTTTTTATGTAATGTCATGTTATGTATTTATGATCAATGGTTGAAAAATAAAAATAAAACACATATTTTAGGAATAAAAAGAGGAAAAACTCTCACAGTGGTATTTAATTCAATTCAATTCAATTTTATTTATATAGCACCAAATCACAACAACAGTTATCTCACAGCGCTTTTCATAAAAGAGCAGGTCTAGACCGTACTCTATGATGTTATTTACAGAAGCCCAACAGTTTATATTTATAACTGTAGTTATGTATGTGGAAACCCAGTAGCATATTTTATCCTAACTTCATGCTGAATCATCTCAGAGTTAACATATTAACAAACAACAAACCAACAAGCAGATTACATAGTTCTAGTTAAAACTGATTTTTTTACAGTATGTCAGTATAATAGGTGCCATTTAATGTTGCAATATGCACGTTTGCATTGTTATTTATGTTTATATTTGTTAAATGTCTGTTTTATTATAATAGTACAATTAATCACATCTTTGAAAAAGTAGAATAGATAAACTAGCAGGTTACAGAAATCAAACTTAATGCAATCTGACTCCACTGTTGCATGACATCCAAATACGTGGCCAGTTGGTTTTGGTGTATAAAAATTTATTTTTTTCCTCTAATTTTGAATTTAAAAAACTGTTAATAATACTTAACTGTACACACTAATATTTTAACTGAGCTCCTTGATTAAAAGTTTTTTCACAGATATGCCTGAGTCATTTAGCACATGGCCATCACACTTGGCCATCTTGGATTGATGATGTCATCAAGCAATAAATATTTGGAAACCAAGAGAGTTACCATGGTTACAGTGTTGCTATCAATCAACTGACACTGTCCTCCAATGACTTGGAGAACGTAACCATGATATATTAACCCAAAATGGAGTTAAAATAACTGTCCATAAATGTGGACACGATGTGTGAAAGGGTTAATAAATAAAGAGCAGCTGTACCTCTCGTCCTTTGTGGTCTCACGGCTATTTGTCCATAACTGACGTCTCCTGTTCCTCTCACTGCTGAGTAGACTGCAGCTGGATCACTCTCTGGAAAATAAAACACACACACATTATGTTACTGCAAATACTATAACTGATACCAGTGGTGTTAGTACATTTACTGCTGTACTACTAGTATTGCAACACATATAATAATACATGTAGACCAGTAATAACCTAATAAGTTTTATTAAATAGCAGCAGTGATGTGAAAGCTGAAAGAACAAACATAACTGGAAAGTATTTGACTAGAAAAGGAAGTTGGACGACCACAAAGCTGCTCACTTCTATTAATGCAAGTTCACACATTTCAGCAGAAGTCAGAATATAGACACGTCACCATCAGCTAAAACAGATCACCCTATAGTGAAAAACCACCAGCATCAGACCAGAGTTCACTGAAACCAACAGGAGGAAGTTTCTGTAGTTTAATGTGCAGAATGGAAAAAGTATCTTCGTTCTGCTGAGTCCATCTTCTCTTTATTAAAAATCACTTAAACACTTAATGTAGTAATTATTTACATTAAAACAAACATAAATAATAATGTCTGAGTAAAACACAACAGTAAAACATTTTCCACATGTTTAGTGGTGCTAATTAGCAGAGTTTCAGGAGCGGGACCACACATCAAGCACGTCATCGCCAGCATTTCCATAAATACCCACACATCCTAAGTCCTCCCCTTCGCCCTCGTATCCTGCATCCCTCCCTCCCACCCCTTTCTCTGTCCTGCCTCCTGATCTCCTTCCTCCTCTCCATAGGTTTATAGGGGGTCCGTCGTACCCCGGTGCTACGGCGGATTTCCCTATCTTAGCTTCCCCACAACGCTTTCTAATGTCTATTCAGCTACTGCAAGCTTCATACATCTTCTGTTCATTACTCAATAAATCATTTAATCATACCCGTTGATTGTGGTCCTTGCTAATGAAGATCCTGTTTATGAGCAGAATGTACAGAGAAATGTAATTCTGCATATTTATAATTTATGTATGTTATTTTTTTTAATACACAGTCCTGCAGTGAAACATGTACAGAGACACGTTCAGCTGAAGTTCTGTCTTTCTCAGAAACATTAAACTCGACGAACACATTTTTTCTTGTTCACACTGCTGCTGCTGTGAAAGCTGAAAAGAGACCAAACACAAGTGAAGCTGATTTATCTGAGTCGAACGACCACAGAGCTGCTGGCTGTGATCAAGATAAGAGTCAACGTGTTCTGCACAGGATGAACATGTTGACTCTTTCTGACTTTGTTTTTAGCACCTTGGACTGTGAGAAACAGCATTTTGTTCATGTATACTCAGTATGTGGATGAAATATAAATAAATAGAATAAATTAACTTGATTTCAGGACGTCACACAAGCTGAATTATTTACTGTGTTACAGTGAAACTTTGAATTTAAAATTTGTATTTTTTATTTAAAGATCCATATAAAATATTGGTGTCACTTCAATATAAACATAACGTGACATGGGGAAAACATTTTTTCCTTGTGTGCTTTTGCAGATACAAGCTTCATGAACTGAATTCACTGATCTGCAGCTACTCAGGAATATGAGACTCAGGGTCGGCTGGTGAAAACAGTTCTAGGTGGGGCTGAGCCATATTCAGTCAGTTTCAGGTAACATCCCTATACAGTTTAACACATACTGCAGGACACCAGCACTCTGTCAAGTAGTCAGTGATTGTTTAATGCCACTATTAAAAAGTTGAGGTATTCTTACACAAAAACATAAACAGTCTATTGCACAAACAGTAACATTAGCAGTGGTGGATGAAGTATTCAGATGCTTTACTTCAGTAACAACATAAAAGTATAATATAAAAACAGATGGGAGAAGCATCTCATTGAGACCCTACATGATGACAAACATTTACATTTATTAATCTAGCTGACGCTTTTATCCAAAACTGTTAGTACCCTTCACTTTAGTTTAACTGTCCCTAGGGTCAAATTTTTTCCAATCTTTTCTAGGGGAACATTAATTTTTGTCGAGGCCAGTTTCATTAAATTGTTTTTTTTTATTTATTAATCTGTTGAACCACAATTCAAAAGCAATGTCTGATTTTCATCAGTTAATTTTCAGTAAATCTTTATTTATTATTGCATTTATTATATTTTGTCAGTTTCGAGTTATTTCAGGGACCATTGTGGGTTTTTCTTTCTTTCATGGAACAATACCAACAACTTCTACAACTGTGTGTTGTGTCTTGCACAGGTACACAATGGTGTATATGTCACAGTGATAATTGAAATCGGGTTTCCCAAACCAAAGATGTGTCTTCTCACGGCCCCATTGCCACCCCATGTGTAGGATGTTTAAAAACATCTTACATTGTCAAATATCAGCATACAGCTGAAGACAGACATGTAAAAGTCCAAAACTTTAACTGGAATGCAATTCACATTTTGGCAGTATATTTCTTGTTAAGACTGCTGCTGCTGTGAAAGCTGAATATAGATGAACATGTTGACTATTTGTGAATTTATTTTAAACACCATCGACTGTGGGAAATGGCATTTCATTAATTTGTATACTCAGTGTGTGAATGAATAACAACAAACAAACTTGAACTTGATGTCAGGACGTCAAACAGACTACTAAATTATAAGGTTTATGAAAGTGAAATCCAAATATGAGTCAAAATATTGACTTATATAAATATTAATATAATATTAAGATCCATGTCAAATGGAAAAGAAAAGGGTAGTTTACAATTTACATTAAACAAACAGATCAATAAAAGAGTTTGAGTACGCTTAGATGTGTTTATCAGAGCATTTCCAATTCATTCATATTATATCTTTATTTTCATTAACAGTCCTGCAGTGAAACATGTGCAGAGTCAGGCTGAAGTGTTTTTATCAGAAAGAGGAAACGACTGCAGAGCTGCTAGCGTCTGTTAGCAGATTCACCACAGGACACAAAACAGACTCACATGCAACAAACACAAGGGTGTGAATTTAATCTAACAGTTGGGGGGAGGGGGGCAGAAAACATAAAATTTCTCAAGCGAAATTTCTGAAAGGGACACAAATAATACAGCCAAAATTGTACTTGTGTAGGATACATGTACACAGAGGGAAGTCTTACTGCTATTATTAGTGTAGCATGGAGGCAGTGATGTTACCAAATAGCCATGACTTTTTGTACTTTTCTCTGTCTTTATATCTGGCCAACAACACAAAGCAATAATTGTTTAAATATGATTAAGGTTCATAGGTTCACCATCGGTCATATTATCCTAATTATCCTAAGCATCTTCCACATAGTATTTTAGGTTTCCTCTGGGACAGAGGCCGTCTCTTAATATTGATCTGCTGCTGATCTGCCACTGAACATCATACTGAGCAAAACCCAACACAACAGTAGATCTACAACATTAACCTAACATCAGTTCACACACAGGATTATAGCTGTACCAGCTGAAATAAGAGATGCACTAATGATTCTAATTACTGATTATTTAAAGGTCTGACCCGCTGATTCCACTTCTTTCTTTCTGACAACTATAACTGACAAACATCTCTGCAACTTTTCTTGATTGGATATTTTTATTAGGATCCCCTTCAGCACCAGCATTAACATTACAAATAAAATCTAACACATTTTTGGGGAGACATTTTAAAATACATTAATTAAATATTTAATTGAAAATATTTGAAAGAATACATTACCCTATTTCTAGTATTTTATTTCTAATCTCACTGATTTAAATCCGTTAGGGCTGAGAGGTTTTGTAGGCCCCCGATAAAAACAATAAAAATATGTAAGTTTTGTCTATACTTCGCGCAACAGTAAGCATGATCGGTGTGCGTACAGTAAAGGCAGTGAGTCACTGTATGACCGAAATCTATGCATTTTCTTGTTATTTCTGAGTTTTTATTATTATGTCCATTCTTGTTTTAATCTTTGCCTGTGTTTTTGTTTAGGTTTGGTTAGTTGATCATTGCCTCCTTATTCTCGGTTGTATTTGGTTTCACGTGACCTTGTGTATTGTTGCTAGCTATACTTCCTGTTTTATTTTGTATCAGTTTCATGTGTTTTTTGTCTAGCTTTGTTTCCTGTCTGCTTGATTGCTTATGTGTCTCATCTGTGTTAATTGCCATGCCTGCTTGTGTGTATATATTGCCCAGTTACTCAGTTCTGTTTAGTCCTCGTGGTGTCATCGTCTTTTGCTGAGTGTTCCTGCCTGTTCTTTGCTTCATGGATTATTCCTCAACTAACTTTTCTGCATTTTGGATTTTTTCCCCGTTTGGATTACTCTGTTTCTTGGATTGCCCCTTTTGTTTGGACTCTCATCTTGTGTTCACGTAAGCTTGTTTAGCTTGTTTGAAATAAATCTTTATTTGCACTGCCACCTCCTCATCAGTGTCTGCAACTTGTGTCCACACCTCTGTTCCTCTGTTCCTGCGCTCGGCCTTTTCTGATAAATATATTTACAGGTTACACTTTATTTGGATAATCTGCCTACAGATAGATTATTTGATGAGATTCATTTGTTTCACTAATAAAATAATTTTCTACACCACTGTGGTTAAGGTTTGTTTATAATTTCAGATAACAGTACAGGCTACTATAGCTTACCATTAGTAACCTAATATTCCAGTTGGACAAAACAGTTTAATTTTTGTGGGTTTCTTCAGTCATTAAACTATTGTGCACGAAAAATGCTCTACATGGTGCTCAGTCTCTCATTTGTTTATGCAAAGTACTAACTTCCCAGTAATAATAATCGTGCATACATGCATTTGCTGTAGTGCCTCCAACCTTCTTTTAATGTCCCGCCTCCTCCAGGCTGTGATTGGTTGGTTTGCGAAAAGTGACTTTGACGAGCTTGACGCACACAGCTGGATAAAACGCTCCCGATCTCCCTGCAGAGATCAGCAGGCGAGAGGAGAGAACAGGTGAGTGGCATGTCGAGCACAGAAAACCTGTTCTGGAGACGGCAGAGGAGTTCCGGTGCCGGTATGCCGAAGAATAAAACGTAAAAGGGACAGTACCGATGAATACCAACACACTTCAAGCACAATCGCAAGCTTT